GGCATGGGAAGCAAGCGCAAGGAAAAAGCAACTGGACTGAGGGTCCCGGAGGAACTTGGGGGAGAAGAAGGCAAGGGACGGGAGCAGTGAGCAAACAGCACCTAGACAGGGGAACGGCTTGGGAATAAAAATCAACAACCAGGAGGACGTAGAGATCCTGGGGGTGTTGGAGCAACAGCAATCGAGCTGAGAGGAATTACTAAGAGGCAGAAGGGAAGCGTGATGGTGGGACAGGAGGAAGGTCAAAGGAAACAGGAGCAATCTAGGAAGCAAAGCCATGGATAGAGAGATAGGTGTAAGTGTGTCCATAGGTTCATTAATTCATAAAATATTTTTAAAGAACTTTCTCTCAAAGGCTAGCTTATAGTTTCCATACGATTATCAATGAGGCCCACAACTTGATAGGATATGGTTACTTTATATCACTCAGGAATAGAATTCCTCAGCTTTCACCCAGTTTGTTGTGGTGGATAAGATTAAACAAAAAACTGCACTGCTGTTGAATGGACTCAACTCACACCAGTCCTGCAGGACTGAGTAGAACTGCTCTGCAGGATCTCCCCAGCTGGAAACCAACCATTGTGGAAATAGCTCCACACCACGGCTGAGGGGTCTAGTTCAACACTTCACCCACTGCGCCACCAGGGCTCCTCATGAGGTAAATATGAGCCATTCAAGACAGACACTGGGTTTCCTAAAATCAGGAGTCATTTTCAAACAGTTAAACATTTTTAGAACGTGCCACATATGATCGAGTGATATCTGCAATGGGTAGGATACTAGAACAGTAAAGGTGGTGTAATCAACTGTGGAATTATAAAAGGACAAGCCCACATTTCCTCGGAGTTCTCCTAAATCCAAATGTGCTTCAAGAATTGTTAACTGCCTCAAAGGAAAATGAGGACATTCTCCCCCTAGATCTGTCTCAGGGGAACCTTCTAGTTAGGGTGCCAAGTGTAACACACACACACACACACACACACACACACACACACACACGTTTCCAAAAGTAGATGGAAAACCGGAGAGGCCAGCCTTTGAAACTGAGCATCTCTGTTGTTCTCCTTAGTTGTGGCCACCTTAGATAACACCAGCCTCTTTCTGAACTACAGACAGCCCTGAATTTAAAGCGCAGGATCAACCAGCATTCCCTGAAACTGCAGTTGTAGCTGGCTCCCAAATGAAGCTAAAAGTGCTTGGAGTTAGAAGCAGTGGTGAAACAGGGAGCAGAAGGAAACGTGGTAGAGAGTCCAGGCGAGAAGCAGCATTACCCAGAGAATCGGTATAGAGGAAACAGAGGTAGGTCTATGGAAAGAGAATGTTTTCTGTGTTTATTTTAATCCAAGAACTCCAAATAGTTGCCTTGGCAGGCAGTCTGGCCCCTGGGAAGACTCGGAGCTGCGTGCAGAACTGAAAGCTCCAGCAGTACATTTCCGTGAGCTCATCAACTTGCACTTGAGCCGTTCAGACCTCACACGTAGCCAAGCGATCGAAACGTCCCCTCTGAGCTTTTAGTTGCAAGCCCAGTAGCAGTCGTAGCTCTTTGAGGACATAACGACAGGGCATCTTTGGAGTCCCTGCTTTGGTCACTATTATTGGAAGCAACTCCGATGTCATTTCTTTCCTTTTTTGCCTGCCTCTTTATGCTAATAGCCTCGCCACTTTGCCCCGCCCACTTCCAGCCTCCCTTAAGAACGGGACACTTTCCGCAGCCCGAGAGCGCCACTCAGACCCAGCTTAGATAACACTTGATTTACCCCTAGGGCGCTTCAGTTTGGGATTGTTGGTTTTTTCCCTTTGGGTATTTATTTTTCTAGACTTGGAAACACTAGATTTCATGTCAGCAGCAAGACCCAAAAACTGCCCAAATTGTAACCTGTTATTTTGTAGTCTCTTATACTCCAAGGGAGAAGACTTTCCATTTGCTAGTTTCCATTGAAACACCAGTGGAGTGGTGTTTTTAGCCCAAATGAATTGGCATCTTTCTATGAAGGAGAAGTAAAATTGGTAAATAATTACTTCAACAATCATGACAAAGAGAAGCTAGTAGGTTTGTTAGGGAAGTAAACGGGATCTTGGTGTATTTGCGTAGTTCTGGGTGTCTGATGAGGGCCATGTAGGAAAAGGAAATGGTCCAGTGATCGTCAAGTCATGCTACTAGCACCATGTCTACTCTGCAAAGAAGAGCCAACAGCCACTTGGGCAGCAGTCTGCACTTGTGGAAACTGCAGCTTCAGGAGCAGCAGCAGCAGCAGCCAGGTGAGTCCGTGCTAATGTGTTGTGACCTGAGGTCACTTTGCATCCCAGGGACGCTGCCCTGGTAAGGCACCTGGGGAAGCTCCTGGGGTGTGAATGACTGAAACTTTGCATTTGTAAGCTCAGAAGCAGCAGGACAGTCACTGCAGTCAGAAGGGGGTAACCTGGAGTTCTCTCTGTGATGATTAAAGGATGGAAAAGACTAGCCAGACTGCGTATTCCTTAGAATTGTCATTCTGAAACCTTTAATTCCACAAGATGTGTAAATTTCAACACCCATCACTGCAAGGCTGATTCAGCTGATGGGAAATTCTGCTTAGCCCGGAACTGCGTTCCGGGTCCTACCGCTAGGGGCACCCTTTGGAGTGTGAAAGTTTTAAGTATGAGTTTGTCTCGATTTCTGGATCATTCA